TGATAATAATCTGATTTCTTTTAAACTAGCTAAAGTAGTATCTTGAAGAAACAAAGACATGCGAAATAATTTTCTCTATGTGAGCACTATCTATCAATTAATTTTGAAGATTATATGAAAAAGAACCGTTACTTACCAAAAGAATTTTTGAACTAAAAAACGAAAGAAGCATTTTTTGATAGAAACTCGTGTGCAAACTAATATTCTGTACTTTTTTGTTTTAGTTTGGCTGAGCTTTATTATGAAATTATAAGTTCATGCATTTTTAAAGAACGTAGAAGAAAAAGAAAGAAATATAAGTTTTTCTGACATCTCAGTTTGATTATTGGATTTATCAGAGATAGAACAATATATACAGCGAAAGAGAATGAAGATATTAAGAACCAAAAGCATGATAGTTATCCTTATTACTACTGGTAAAGTATGTTTGAAGAAAATGGAAGTAGCTGAGATTGATAAAATACATATCTATTGAATGAATTTTATATGTAATTCAGCTACTACAGAGAAAAAAGAACTAGAAAGGTTCGTTGAACTATACCACATAATGAATAGTTGATAACACGAGAGTTTAATACAGTGCAAGTAACAAAAATAGCACGACTAATTAGTTATACAAGAGCTAAATTTTATTAAATAAGGAGGATATAATGAACTAATAATGAATTGGATACGCCAGTACTCAAAAAGCGAAAAATATTTCGAGTTGTTTATAAGAAATAACAGCATTAAAACCTATTTAGTTTTGTGAACACATTTTAACGTATAGTTCAATAGTGATAACGACAAAAAATACGCAAATTTCGAAAACATAACCAATTTTAATGCCTTAGGATATGGTAACGCGTTTTAACTTGTTTAAAACTGACTTAATAAGAGCATTTTAATTATAATATTTCGTTTAAATGTCGTTATTACAGAACCTTAACTAGTTTAAACACATTAATTTTTAACGTATGCCTGCCTGGGTACTTACCAACCTCTAGAGATCTAAATGTCTGGATTTATGAACTTATAGATAATTATTAAGATCCAAACGTGTATACTTTCGTATGTTTGTAGATTCATAGTCCCATAGATATATAGATCTATTTCCTAGACTAAAATGTCTCGGTCCTAGAAAGTTAAATTAAAATTAAAAAAAATGTCTATCCGTAACACATTTTTATAAGCATTATCCACCTCATGTTACCGATAGGTTTATTTTATCTCTTAATCTTATGATATTCTAAGTTGATATAAAACTCATTCTGCATCTGTTGTACATAGTTCTTTTTTGTCTTATTCATATGATAAGAGATATTTCTCTTACGATAATGATGTCGACAGAAATACACGACACAAAAGATTTTATATAATATTAGAACTATCTCATTGTGTTTCACATTTTAATTCCATAGATATATCCTTGATTTTTGACTCATTTTACAGAAACTGATATAAAACAAGATTAAACTTGTCATGTTCATCAGAATGACATCGTCTGATCTATGACAGATAAACAAATAATTCAAATCGGTTTTTGGCCAGTCTACAATTGTGCTTATTTACATGAAATCGCATTATCTTTCAGTAGGAGAAATCAGTGAATCGGCATCCAATGAACGTTACTTGTTAGTATCATAGACATATTCTTGATTTTTAAGCAATTTTATGAAAACTGAGGGATGGATCGTATGTTCATCCACAGCTACAGCCACATCCAGACATACCCACACTCATTCCTACAACCAAGTCGCAAATTTTCGTGACTGAGTGTTCTCTCTCTCTGATACTTCGCCGAATAAGATATGAATCAGTCAATTCCTTCCTTTTTTTAACGAACAACGCCATTTTACATGACTCTTAAATAAAATACTGTGATTGAGTGTTTTCTCTGACATTCTTTGACGAATAAGAAACGAATGAGGCAGTTCTTTTTTTTTCTAACGAACAACGCCATTTTAAATGACTCTTACATAAAATGCTGTGATTAAGTGTTTCACCTTTCATATTTCGCCGAGTAAGGTATGAATGAGTCAGTTGCTCTTTTTTTCAACGAACAACGTCATTTTACATGACTCTCATATAAAATATCATGACTGACTGCTTCGTCTCTCATCGTTCGCTGAGTAAGAACAGAGTGAGTCAATTTCTTATTTTAATATCAATGAATATCTGCATTTTTCTGTTTTTCCTTAGAAATTGTACAAAAACGTCGAAAGTGAGAGAAAAAGAAACTAAGTAAGAAAGAAGAGTACCACTAGACTCATATACAGAGTATAAAATGTCTTCTGAGAAAGACTCATTATGAGGTAATCGCTCTACGGTTCTTATAGAGTTCGATGCTGTTTGAGAAGTTCTTTCCAAAAGGAGAAGGCCGACCTTGATTTGCCAACATAATCACAGGTTATTGATAGAATACTATCTATATTGATGCATCTCTATGAAGCTGTCTTAGGAGACTCTAAAATGATGCTAAATATGATCCATTTTTCATGAAAACAATATAAAATGATTCTTCACAATGTTTTCTATAGGGTTATACAGTTTTAGAAGAATTTTGGAGTAAAGTAATATGTATTCTCATGCGTTCATATCATATCATGGTAAAAGACCAATAACTCACGGTTTCTAATCCAGCATGAAAAACGTTAGATCACGACTCTAAAAATATCTAAGTAAGTCAGTTTTAGACTTTGAACAATTTCATATTAATTCCAATCTTGAGAATTGTGTTAAGAATTGTTCTAATGCGTAATAATCTATACCGATTGTTTTTTTGATAGGAACTGGTCTATACAAACGATTCTTTTGATTGGAACGGTCCCCCCTCCCCAAAAAAAAAGCATTTTATTCCGATAAATAGAACAATTTTGTTCTATTTATGAGAATAAAACGTTTTGGGAAAAGTCCAGTTCTCATCCAAAGAACTGTTGGTAGAGATAAGTTCCGTTTAAACAGACTTAAGAGCTTAAACTGTTCTAGGTTTAGTTAGTATGTGGTAGTGACGGTCTGAGACAATACGATAAAGTTCCTATAAATCATCGCTGATAAAAGTCTACAGAACAGATAATTTGTAATAACGAAGCTAACCAAATGAAAATTTTGCTTTAGGACGAAGTGACGTCATTAGGCACCGTCTGTCATATTGATTCATCCTTTTTTCTATATTTTGCTTTTTTGTTGACAGGGCAAATGGTTGAGAGAAAGAAAAGAATCTGCTCCATATTTCCAAACACAAAACAATGCAGGAAGAACTAAAGAAAAAAAAAGAAACTGATGGAAGAATGTTCGATAGTGTTACGTATAAGTGCGACGTGAATTTGAGTACTCATGTAGTTGAGAAGTAATAAGTCAAAAAGGATAATATCGATTCTCGTTCACATAGTTTTCTCACTCCATACTGTGTTTTTAATAAAATGAAAGCAAACTATAAAAAAAATCACTATCGTCAGGAAGAACAAAAAAGCGTAAGATGATCTGCTACCTACTTTTTTAGATTTGGTACGAATCTATGAATCATTAATAAGATTTAAAAAGAATCCATAAAACTTTATTAAGGTTGTGTAGGTTTGTACTAAACCTAACAAGTGTTTAGAAACGGTATCAATTGTCAAAATCTCTTTTAAGTTCCATGTCATACAATTTTTTCTTTCAGTGTACTGAAAATAAAAAAATCTTTTCTCTTATAAGCATTCTCTTCCTCATAACAGAAACAGTTGATGCCTGAAAAGTTAACAAGTATATTAGATAATGCCAATACTTTGGCTAGAGATTTCGAAAAATTACTTTTCTTAACTTTGTTTTCCAACTCATATCAGAAGCAATTGATACTTTCATTTAATGAAAGAAGCGATTTATCGAATAGAAAGCTATTCTAGTCTACTCTCCCTAGCAAAATATCAGTTGAATTTTCTGAAAATTGTGAAACCTCTTGTGAGTTCCCGAACTACCATCAAAGAAGTTCTGAGTGAGTTTCTGGAAACCATGAAATCCTCAGACACTGACGAATGATTCTCGAAGAACTCCCTTGAGAGTTGCCAATTTTCAAAAAGTTCGAATGAAGATAAAACTCCCTGGGAAATCTATGAAGAAGTGCAATAAAATATGAACCATTTTGTTTTGCATCTGTAGAAGTATATTAGACAGTAGAAATTCGAAAAGAAAGAATTGTTCTTTTAGATTAACTTCTCTTATCATAAATATCATTTAGGCTTCTACATAAGCCATTTGGTGTAAAATCATCGTTTTGACATGAGTTAATGTTTAAGCCGAACAACTCATCTACTGGTAGGAGGGTTCACTGACCATAGTTCACTTACTATAGAAAAAACGTGAGAGACTATTCTGAAGAAATTTCTGAAGATTCATGAAACAAACTTTCGAGGGAATTAGTTGTAAGAAACATTTGAAAGACTCTCGAGAAACATGGAGAATAACTGCTAGAATAATGACGAGAAAATTCCTCAAAATTCTCTTATTCCTCATCGAAGAATCTGTTACATGAGTCTCTTGAGATTTTTCTAGAGAAAGTAGACTAGAACAAACATATAAGAACATTTTTCACCCTATTTCCGTTTTTACAATATTTGATAAAGTCGTTCGAAATTACAAGAGACCAAAATGTCTCTTTGTTTTAGATGATGATCACTTCGAAACGTATTTTTCCTCAGTGAGTCAAAGAGAATGTTGTTGATATCATGTAAAACTTTGTTCGAATTATTTACGATAATAATTAGAATTAGCGAAGAAGAAATGAGTGTGTAAAACGAACAAGCATTCTTTCTGTGATGTAATTTTTATGTCTATTATTATTAGTATGTGTGTGACTGAAGGTAAGCTTATCTGTGGTAACGAGTCATACTATTATTGTTACAGCACATTATTCTTTTGTTGACAGTGTTGATGTCAAGAGCAGTTACCATGAAAATATTTATCTTCATTTGTGTCAGATAAACAAGAGTATTTTTAGATTTAAATATATATTTCTACTATTTATCAATTACTGTTTTATTACAATGGAAGTCTCACATAATCAAGCACCTTTGCAACAAGAATATTTTGATAAATACAATGCTGGGGGTCCCCTCAACTGGGAAATTGGTCGACCCCAATCAGCCGTATTACATCTTGTTCAGAGTGGTTTCTTTTCAGGTCGTGTACTTGACATTGGCTGTGGTACCGGAGAGAATGCTCGCTGTATTGCTAGACAGAGAAATTTTTCAAGCCCTGTGAAGGTTGTGGCCGTTGATTTGGTAAAAAAATGTAGTTATAATTATATTTCATTATAGTATTATTTTCATATCAGGTACCCAAGGCTATTGAAATGGCCAAGAAACAAACGGATCCAAGTGAATTTACAAACTTGACTTTTACTGTTTTTGACGTACTCAACGAAGACAATAAGACTGATCTAGGTCGATTTAACTTTGTTCTGGATTCATGTCTCTTTCATGGACTTTCCGATGAACATCGGCAGATCTATATACGTCAACTTCATCGATGGTTAAAACCGGGAGGCGTCTACGTACAGTTAGCATGGAGTGAAAAGGAAACATTAGAGCGACCATCTGGTCCACGAAAGATCACTAGAAGTGATCTCGAACAATTGTTCTCTGTTAACAATGAGTGGCAAATCGAAAGTATTAGCGATGACATCATCGACAGTATTCCAGAGATCAATAAAGGACGTTCTAGTGCTTACTTGTCATTAATTCGGAAACTATAAATCTTTTTTGTTCAACTATTCTTCTATGTTCAAACTTTTGTCTGTATGTTCATGTCAAAGCTATAAAGAAACGATTCGTCAAGAATCACTCATAGTAATTGCAGAAAAATTTTTAGTTCTCAATTGAATGTATTACGCGAAAGGTCGAGTTCAATAGGAAATAAAGACAGAAGAGCAAGTTACAATTCATTTTAATTTTAAACACATGTGTGTATTAGGCATCGTTTACTATTCCGATATTGTCTTTTGTTCTGTTTGACCATTTGAACTGAACAATGTCTCAAATGACAGACCACTTCTTAGGCTAACAAAACCAACCTATTTCAGTAATATATACACTCTGCTTGAAGATGCTACTGATGAAAAATCCATCCAGAATATGTAAAAATCACTTTTTATTAATTTTGACTTATTTTTCTTTTCTTTGTTTTTCTGGTTTGATTAATTGTAATTTTTATTTCTTAGTTTCTAAGCAATAGATAATCAGTTATTTTCTTTTGGCAAAAAGCCATGTTTTAGTCTGTTGTGTCAGTTGCTGGAATGAATGTGGATGTGACTACCGGTGGATATGTGTAAATGAGTCAAACAAACCTTGACGCATTTCAATCTTGCTCAAGAGTTTCGTGAGAGGATTCAGACAAATCTATCTATTCAATTTATCAGCAGATCTCAAGGTTATTATAGAAATCTACAGTTAGTTTATTAGGGTGGGTGTGGGGTGGGGGTGTGGGTGTGGGTGGGGTGTGTGTGGGGGTGTAGGTGGGGGCGTGGGTGGGTGGGGGAGGGTCGGATCGGTGCACGCGAACACCCCTACCCCGCACCCGCCCGCCGCCCGACACNAACCCTAGTTTTTCAGCACCCAGAAAGCGTGAATTTGTTTTTTGTTTTAACAGGCTAGAATGATAGAACAGCCAATTCTCTACAAAATGAGATGTCTCCGAGCTCTCTACGATCTTCTCTTCAAAAATTATAAGCATCACAAAAACCGAAAAAACCACATTTTTAGTCGATTTTTAGCGATTTTCTCATAAATTTCACTTTTTTTCGGTTTTTGTAATGCTTATAACTTTTGAAGAGAAGATCGTAGAGAGCTCAGAGACATCTCATTTTGTAGAGAATTGGCTGTTCTATCATTCTAGCCTGTTAAAACAAAAAACAAATTCACGCTTTCTGGGTGCTGAAAAACTAGGGTTTTGGTTTTCTGGAGACTCAGCCCTTTGGAATCTGATCATAATTTCTATTTTCTTATATTCTTATTGGAAAACATTTTCTCTACTGGAACCACTATTCGGAGACTTCCTAGCGGTTAAGATAGCGGAAACAAATTGAAAATAAAGCTAATTGAACAATTTTGGGAGTTACTGTATATATTTTAGTCTTTTCCAATATGACCTCTGAATTTTCATCCATTAGTTCTCTTAATGTCGGGAAAATGTTCTTCTTGAAAAAAAAATTAAAAGAAAAAAAATTAATTTTTCGACAGCATTTACTTGACAATCGACTTGAAGTATCTACTACTAATAGAATACTTATAACTGCTGAATGATAAAATATACATCGTTAATATTTTTTTTTTCAGTTTTGTAAATCTTCGATTGTAGGTTTTAATGCACACTCGATCATTGAAAATTCACTGTAAACATCCAACAGGAGTACATTAGTTGTCAAAAAAGTCGCTTGGCAAGCTTTTAAAAAAATGGGAAAAAGTCCTATTATATGTGATTCGATGGACCGCGATCATCTCTTTCCAACGATGAAAACTGCAGTTGTCTATCTTGTTTCAGTGAAAATTTATTAGAAAAAAATATTCACCCACTTTTTTTTGGGACATAACCATTCATTTCTCCGTCACGTATCATAATAAGCAGATCTTCGTCGAAATTTTATTATTATGATATCAGTTGAAGTATGGATGAAATATTACATATATGTAGAGCATTGTTTTTACTATTTGTTCATATAGATAGAAACTTTTGTAAAACTTACTATACAGTATTGAAGTGCCATTGGCACTACTTTTGATATGCTCGAAGTCATTTGTTTTTATAATCAAACGTTCTTGTTACAGAACTTTCTTTCATTAATATTTTCATTATTAGTTAACTAAAAATGAAAACATTGAATTAATTTCGTGGAGTAATGATTACATGAGTTTTGAAGTTTTGTGATGGCCAATACAAAGGTTATCTCTCTAATGACGAAAATCTTCGATTAATGTGGTTTCTTGTACTTTATATTGTATTTAACTGAGGTGTATAACTTCACTAAAGTGGAGTAAATTGAATGCAAATAAAAGTAATAAACACATAGAGGTCCATTTATTAGTGTGATATGAAAACAACCTATACCTACATAATAGTTCTCAAACAGATAAAAATTTCTAAAAACGCATTAAGTCGCTCTAATCGCAGTTCCTGCTCGAACATTTTCACGTTCATTCAGAAAGCATAAAGAAACTAACTACTTTCATCATAAAACGCGTGTGAAGACGCTGAGAAAGGCACCTTTTGCATCTTCAAAGCGTCGAAAAAAATCTATCACGGATAAACAGATCGTATTTATGTGCTAAATGTGTCAAATATTCCGGAAACAACTTTTTGGATGTTTTAGTGATTTAAAGCTTGTGTCTTTCTAAGTATCTTCCAGGTAACTGTTACAATCAAAGTAGGTTGTTTTAGCGTCTTGTCAATGAACGTGGAAATACTGGAACAGAAACTGCGATTAGAGCACTTAAACACATTTTTAGAAAATTCTTGCCTCCTTGGGTTATGACGATATCAATCTTTAATTTTCGTGTGTATTTTCTAGAGTGAAAGATAAACTGCTTACCTTGCTTCTTTTTAACGAAATTTATCTAAACTTCGAATAAATTAATCTTTACAAGCATCGTAGAATTCAGTAACATGTAAAGATCTTCTTTCTACATATACGATTTTGTTCATAATGTACCTACTATATATTGAAAGAGGAAGATCAAAGATTAGCACAAGAACGATTTTTAACAAAAATAAAGTGAAGATTGTGCGTTTATGTTTGTGTTCTTCAATTCTAATATGCTACCTTTCCCTTCCACCTGTTTGAAGGAACACATACGAACCAAAGTGAAATATTGAACGTTTTAGTTGCAACAATAATTGAAACTTGAAGATTTGCTTTCCTACGAACGATCGCTAATAATTTAAGATTCAATATTAAAGATATGAAAAGAAATACTATAAAATCCAAAAATGCACTAGTGATCTAGCAATAATTGGAGAGAAATTAAAAGATTAATCTAAATTTTATATTAAACGTTATATTACTAAATATGATGATACTTTGCATTTTCCATATTCATATGTGACACATTAACGCATGCAATATGAAACAGTTCTGCAATAACAGTATGAAAGCTAGAATAATCTTTATAGTCTAATGAACGACATGATCTTTTTTTTACCGTCATCAACAAAAAAATTGATTTTTTTCTCTACACCGGTTACATGTTGCATAAAACGTCAGTTCAAGCATGCATAAAATTAATTTTAATTCTAATTAATGAAGAATATGAAAATATCTACTTATAGACTATGTGTTTTACATATCGCTAAAAAAACAACGCAAACAGAAACAACGATACAAGTACTACTAACTCATATGTTAAACTACTCAGAGTTCTTTTATCTAACTTTCAATATATGACACGACATCGAAGCAAAAGGTAGTAATTATTGAAACATTTACCATAAAACATGTAACATAATAAAAAGGCTCATTGAAAAGAATATATCTTGCACTGTATATTACAAATTAAACTCCAATATACAGATTCTCACTGAACATGTTCATTTATATAAAGCGATAATCTGCTAATGAAATATTCTCTAAACGATTAATTTCTTTTTCTTAAACACGAGCACATTCACTCATGATTGAATCGTTTTCCATAGGAAATGTCCGCAAAATTAAATATATCTTAGGTCTTCCAAGCGTTTGCTGATATAAACACATAACTCTTTGAAATACTCGTAACGCTTATTCTAATATCGACAGAGGACATTTGTTCCAAAACTATATATTATTTTGACAAACTATTACTCAATTATCAAACAAATACTATTCTAAATAGACATGTCTATTTTTTTTATGCTAACCGATATAGTTCCTGCTAACAAAATCAAATTTTCATGGTACATATCAAAAGAGTGCATTTCAATCCTGGTGAACCATACCTAAAAGACGTTGTTTAGGTATATCTATCTCTATCACTTTGCAATGAAAAAGCAAAATATATTGCACAACAGAGTTCATAATTTTCAAAAATTTACAATCAGGAGAGATTGCATTGAAAAGATCTTTTCTATATGGATGATATGTTTTCTTTTATTTCTTTCGGAAAAAAAACAGAAAAGAAAAAGACTGTTTTGTATCATAATTATTGTTTATGCAACTTGTACGACATAAGAAGCAATACCACAGGTATTTTGCCCACGTAAGACACGTATGTATCCTTTTTCACCCCAACCGGCACCTATGAACAAACTTAGACGATAAATCAACCTATAAACAATGCATACTTACCCCAACTATTCTTGCATATCCAAAAGAGATCTCCAGAGGCTGTTTTTCCGTAACCAACAAGTTGCATCTATTCACAAAAAGGAAATTAAGACTTAGAATTTTGAATTAATAAAGTTATGTATAATATATACCATATGATCGATGACTGTTTTTGAGCAGGATTTGTCGTTATAAATACCTAGAAAGTAACAGAACAATAGCAATTTATGTAATAAAATCAATAAACATGTCTTACCACTCTGGTAAAATTGAAAGGAAGCTTGGCTTGCATCGATACCAACGGACAATGTAGAATTTTGGATCCATGTTACCATAGTATTTTCGTCTCGATTTTTAAGTCGCATGATTTTATCAAACTAAATCCAAATACTCATGAGAATCAAATAACAAACAGATTGTTTGTAATAAAAAAAAATATCGATTATCGAAATTTAAAATATATTCAGTGAACAATGCGAAAATCTTTTAAAATTTATCACACCAAAATAAATGAAATTTTGTATCGAACGCTCGAATAGATTTTTTATTTCTCGAATCAAAAATTCATTTCGATCGTTTAGTGGCATGAAATTTGGAACAATGAAGGTATGCTTCAATAAATATATAAATGTACATACATGAGCAAATGGTTTACATTGGTCTGGTATGCATTTACCAGTAGGTGTAGGATAATCACCAGCACTACATATACCACCCAGCTTCATGATGCATTGAAACGGATCAGCTGGTTGTGGACAACAGTCGACGACACGAGCAACACTACCTTGTACCAGCTTTCCCGTTTGAATAGCGTACCAGCTTTCAATAACTTCTGCAATATATTTTTTTCTACGAAACGAGTTTGACCATTGATATTTTATAAATACTTACCTACAGCAACGATGGCCTCAACGTCACCAGTCATACCTTGATCTTCAACTGGCGAAATAACACCTTTTGTACGCCAATCAAATGAGTCTGGTACAACGATTAATTCTAGAGTACTTTCCATATTTCCAGCTAAGGGTTCAATGTAGTGTTTTGAACGTGAAACGAGTTCCTGAAACAATTGATCTTATTCAACGATATGCATGATTAACACAACTGATTTTACTTCAATGCGTCGATCAGTCAAATGGTTGATATCAAGTTTGAATGTTGCATTTGGATGAAGTCGTTCATAAGTACGCATTCGATTTACATTTTCAAAAAATATTTGTTTACGTTCGGCTTCCTCAGCAGCTGATTTATAATGTTTATTATAATCACGTTTAAACTTAAGCCAATTGATTGATGAACTACTAGAAACCACAACGAGCAAGACAGAAAAAATGATTAACTAAATGTGACAAAAAAAATGACATGTTTTATTTATCACATTCTTAAAATTACCAACATCGTCAAAGACTTACTTTTATATGCATCTTTTTTTTTGTGTATGATAACAAATATTTCATGTGACATAGATATATACCGCTTTAAACAAATATTTGATAAGCGAATAGATTACAGCGAAATAACTAATAAAACATGATTAGATTGCATCGTTTTAATGATGTTAAATCTTTTCCTTTTGTCAGAATAGACTACGTCCGATGATGATGAGGAAAGCCCTTCAACGTAGGTAAAATGCATGATTTAATGATTTTATTTGTAAATTGTGCGTCGATGGTTATTCAGCATAAGAAAGTATTATTCAATGACAAAGAAGATTGAACATTTGAATTATAAAGAGAAGTTTTTTAGCATGTTTTGATTATATTTTAAAGAATTGATTTTATCCGATGCTGTTAACGCAAATTCAATTCTTACTTTTTTTCATATTTTCTAAGACATTTATTTTCGGGAAATCATGGAATTATTCTATCTAAAGATAGATATCTCAGAAAGTACATATTTTTACTTTTCCTTAGTAGACTTGAACAATAGGATCATTTCGTTCAATAGTATCTTCGTGCTAAAATCTACTTGAAATTTAATGTGTACCAAACCGTATTCAGCATTTTGATAAATACCAACATGTTTTCTATATATGAGAACATAACAATAATTCTATGAATTACCAGTAACAAAGTCAACTAGTCATACATAGTTAATTCGCCGACTATTTTTTTTTCTCATTCGTATCTTCATTCTAATAGGAGTATACTAACACACCAATTGAAATTTGAAGCATCGATAGATAAGTCCAAGTCCAAGAGTGTTTTTCTACGCGTCGCAAGATATAAGACAGAGTAACCACTTGTACGTTACAAATGCTGTCGAAGAAGTGTTGCCCGTATCATTCTTTATATCATGGAATCTCTATTAATATTGAAGAGAAACAGAATAATACATGAGACACATTGCCATCCTGTTTCAAATTGTAATACTAAGTCTTTGTTCATAGTTTAAAAGTATACTTGCACAAAGATCACTTCTGAAAAGTACTTTTACTACTATTGTTGTTAAGAAAATTCAGTACAAAATCAAGTATATTTTCATATTTTTCTGATGTTAATAAATATGAAGTTCTATTAAATTTTGAAGATAATACATTTTTTTTCCTGCCTTTGATTGTCCACTTCATTAAATAACTATCAATACCATTATGTAAGAAAGAAAACAGATCATAAATTTGTTAATAAAAAATTACAATGTAAAATATTCAAAGTTTCTTATTAATTTCTCTAATGACTTTTGACAAAAACAGAACACATAAAAGAATATCCAACTCAAGAAAATTGCTTAGTTTGATAGTGATCAATAAATTCTCACGGTCAAACTACTAGAAATCGTTATCTTGAAATCATCAGATATTTAATCAACTTATTTCATTTCTTTCAATTGTGTAATTATTATAACAGTTTTTTTTTCTGACCAACATCATGAGGATATTTTTTTTTTCATCTGACCGATCTCAATATGATCATCTTCAAAAATGCAAATAGTTTTTTTTATTTAATAGGTTTTCGTTAATTGCATTATTATTTACGAAGGATGAATTTTTTAGTGATGAATGCTTATTGCAATATTCTCATTATCACGATTTGGTTTCTGTTAACATTATGAACAATATAGTGGAATATGCTTATGACAATAGCAACATTAATGAAATGTATTTGATTATACTTTTTCATGAACAAATTAAGAACAATATTGGTATAAGCCATTAGTAGGATCGTGTGTCTGTAATTATACAGCGAAAAGTTTTGATAAATATAAATTGTGTACAACGGTCGACTCATAAGAAACGAGAGGCTCCTATGCAATATGCTTATTCTTTATTGCATAAATTTGCATTTATGGTTAAAAATAGAAAAAGAAAGTTAGTTATATTAAACACGTTTATCTATTTGTTACAAACATGTATTCCATATTCTTCTAAAAAAGAATGATGTTGGAAAAGTGGAATCGTTAAAATCTGAAAAGATAGTCTTATAAAGAGACAAATCTGCAATCAAATAATGTTGTCTAAACAATTTCATGTCTCAAAGTCTACGTCATACAGCGCCGATTGTCTAATCCAGTTAGCATCTATAATCTCACTTTAGTGTATGTTTATAACATGATTCCTTTTTTTTGGTATTAGTAATTTTTGTTTCTCACGACAAGTACAGACTTTGGATGAGTTTCAAAGTCATTTTCTATCTCTATAAAAAAAACAGAAAGGTCTATTATAACATGTCTTGTTCAACAAAGTAATGTGATTTTTCAGAATCGTACGTTCTCCACTCCTTTAATATTACATAATGTGTAAATTAAATATAAAATAACTAATGTAGAATCACGATAGAAACAAAGACAACAAAACTCAATGTCAATAGAAATAAGTCGAGAAAAGTGTAACATAGATAGATTTGTATTGACAACTATTTTGTAATCAACTTTGCTTGTCGCTACCAGACATATCATTGAAATTGTTTGACAAAGTATCTAACTTTGCCGCAGATGTCAAATAACTTGTTCCTATAATTAAAAATGTGAACTTATCAAATATGGTAAAAAGAAGAAAAAGAAATTTATCATATCGATTCACAACAAAAAAAATGTCATAAACTATCAGAATACTCAAATGTTTCGTATTTCAATCTTAATTAGGTAAAACAAGTAAAATATTTCGAATGGTGCGACTAAGGATCGTACCCAAATAATAATCCCATTGTTTTTCCAAAAACTAAAAAATCCATCAGTAATGAAAGTCATTCAATTATATAGTATTTCAATCAGATAAAGAAATCATTACGGACATATTCTACAATCTTCACATTCTCGAACAATTTACAAAAACTGACAAATTTTTTTATTATTATTTATAACAAACAATAAATCTAATTTTTTATCAAAAACTCAAGTTTGTATATATTCAAAGTCATTATTCAATCAAAAGATGACAAAACTTTATAGTTTTATATTTAAAATTAAGCATATTTTATGGGATATTATGTGTACAATGGTACTTGACTCTGCGACATAGAGAAAGCTTGTATTAATCCAATATTTTCTGAGTGAAAGAAAAATACCTGTATGATCACTCTTATCTCCATGGTCAATTGTTTCATGTTTATTTAATTGATTTGTTGGTGGAAAATCGGATTTTCGTCGAACACCTTGTGCACCAGCTTTTCCTGATATATCTGAATTTCCGAAAGCTCTTGGATTATGAACTGTTCGTATTATTATTGTCACGCCAGCAAATTCTTTGTATTCACGTACATATGACTCATCAGATGCTACATAAGACAAATATAATGAAATATTTGATACAATAATTTAAAAATTTCAACATGACGAAGAGACAATAATATAAACAGTGAGATATTCAAATAAAATAGTTTTGAAAAACATTTTCCTATTATCTAAATAATAGGTTAGTACCAATGTTTCAAGAACTACTGTTCTCTGAAGAAAATAGATAAATGAAAACAAACAAATGAATACTTAAGATGAGAAAATTATTAATAATCTATACGTGTATGATTACCTTTTTCTTGTGCATCAAAATGAAGTGATTTTTCTGCGTCCGATTTACGATGTGGATTTGCAAAGATTGAAACATCAGGTTTTTTAACAGTAACCATGCTTTTATGAATCTCTGATTCATCATGTGTTCCAGTATTCGTTTCGTTGCGTTTAGTCGTAAACTTCTTCTTTTCGAACGAAGGAACGCTCAAACTTTTGCGAGGATTATTTGAAGACAAAGACATTTTATCGTTGGGCTTGCTTTCTATGCCGGAACGATCGGAATTGTAACAATCGTCAATTGTGATTAAACTACATTTATTCAAAACTACATAGCAAATATCGTAAATGTTATGTTTTACGTTGCACTAATGAGCTGTAAGATTATTATTAGAAAAAAAAAATGAGCGGATAAGAAGAAAAGCAAACTTAAGTATAATTTCGCATGATTTGTGTTGATTCTTTAAAAGAGCATATTGTTCTATGTCCTTCCACAGAATAGCTTGTACCAACGGAATAATTGGTTTAAGCTCTTTGATAAAAACAAATGCAACAAAAAACAGATGTTTTCTTTGTTGATGTGAATGAATTCAAACTGTAATTCCAGAGAATTACAACAAGAGAAAAAAATAAAATGATACAAAAACAAAACTTTGAGAGTGTTTCATACATTAAATCGAAGAGATGAATGATGGTAGAGTGTATTGCAAGATTTCTTGATGCATCCATAATTATCATTATAAAAAATATTATAACACCATACATAGTCGTTTCACAGTAAAGTGTTATATTCATACAACTAAGAATAAATATTTCTTCCATTTGAAAACGTTCCTTTGTTAAATCAATTTCTTGAGCATCTTTTTTTTGTATGATATTGCATGTAGTCACATCAAACCTTATATTTATCAAAATGGCAGGTTATCAAATAGTATCAATAGCAAACCAGTTAAGAAAAATAAAAATATGAATCAATTGCCTCCGTACAGTACAAATATGTTTAAACACTTCCATTCTTATCAATATTTTGTCATACACATAAACAGTACATTAGTACATATTCGATGAAGTACTAGAGATTATTAGTTTGCGATCTTTTTTTAATGTATTTTTATAAAATTCATATTCTATTGTTTTTCTTTTATATACAGAAAGAATTAAATTTGTATTGTTGTCTGTTTTTGACAAAAGTATTGAAATGCTGTAAAACTAGATTAAAAAAGAACAGATTCATTTCTTAACAATTCGTTTAGCTAATAAAAACTTTTTGAATAAACTCTATCTATCTCATTGCCAACACTCCCAACTTGAAGAAGAAAAATAGCAACATATGTGTAAAATGTAGTCAAATAAAATTTATTGAACGAAGAAAACGAGGTGAAAAATTTTATTATATATATATCTATACAGTAAGCTGTACAAATACACAAAACAAATAATAAGTAATATATGATGTTAAGACATGAAAATTCATTGCTGAAATAATTTTAATGAAACCATAGTGAAATTGATTTTCGTTGTTCTTCTTCGATTTTTCTTCGGAATTGTTATGTCAATCTTGTGATATTGCCCTTGCAGCTGCATGTTTCTTCTCTACAAAACAATTAAATATATTATGATCATCTAACCTTTCATCGATAATAATTAAGAGTTTTTTTTTTAATTATTTAAACTAGAATTCATCAAATTTAATTGCTGGGAATTTCATTTTAGAAATTTTTTTCTCCACTTCAAATTATATTTTGATAGCAGTTTATCTTCTTCTTCCTACATAATAGAATAATTTTTAATGAATGTTCAAAATATTTCTTATTGTAAAGCTATATTTAGTGACATATACTACTAACAAATATAAAATTCTACTATATTTAACAAATGGTTATTTAAATTCTGTCAGAAACATTCGACTATAGAAATTCTATGATAAATGAGAACTTTATTAGAAACAAGATAGAAACTGTGAAACTGCTGGAACAAAAGAAGTTGAAATTCTTTAAGCAGCAAGATAAAATGAGTTGTATCGAAACATTTATCAAGTTCTAAAATGTGTAGTATGTGAGATAGTATTCAATGAAGAATTAAATTATAGTACCTGTATTACCATTTTTTTCTCGATCACTTTTATCAGGTTTAGTTTTGCTTGCTTTATTTGTTGGTGATTTGGGACTATCAGATTTTTTAGCTGCACCATGAGTACTAGTCTTTCCATGCGAGTCCGAATGATCTTGTTTCGTTTTTTTACCGTCTGTGTGTGCTTGTGCCTTAGTGGGAGAATGAGAAGCATGAGTAGCTGCTACTCCACGAGATTTCGGCGTTGTATTAACATGTATATCTTCAGCTACAATGTAGAAAGAATAAAGTTAAAGTTCTAATAACTTCGAAAAACAGAGTATTATCTGATAGTGAATAGATACAAATCATTTATGCAATGTATATGAATAATATTTTAAGTGAAAAAAGCTTTCTTTCTGATGAGAAGCTGATAAATTTAAAATGCTATTGTTTTTAAAGAAAAATAAGAAAAAGACTATGTCGATAAAAAGTTTTGAGAACACACATACTGTCTACGTTAGGAAAAAGTATTCATTACTTCTCATTTTTAAAATTGCTACCTGTACGTGTAGTTTTTGCGCGTGTATTAACACTTGTATGTTTCTTCGAATCTGATTTACTATGTGCACTTGTATGATCAACAGATTTGGATTTTCTAAGCGAACTTTTGTGTCCATGAGTTTCTGTTTTTCCATGTGTTCCATTCTTTGCTTCAGCATGTCCAGACATATGTTTATTCTTATCAGAATGTGTCTTATTAATATGACCAGCATCAGATGTTTTGCGATGTATGTTAGGTGGTAAGGACATTTTTTCTCTATTGCTTTTTCCAATTAAAATGACAATCTATGTTTTTCTTTCTAGTATACCGTTTCTATGAAATAAATGACGTTCGACCGTCACTATTTACTGTCGAAGTAATATTTCTCAATGCCGCACAATACTAATAGTAGATATTGTTTTCCGTCGTTATATAATAAACTGAAAGAAACTATTGAATTAGCAATTCAATACAGAAAAACACTAGAAAAAAAGAAAAAGAAATCGACAATTGTATGGTGTTTCGTGACTTATTAAAATTTATAACAACATATTCATAAATGTTTTAATATAAAATTACATTCGACGATAGACTACGATACACATTTCAGAGTCGTTAATATTATTTGACGATCAAATATATTTAACTACCAACTCAATCATGAAAGATATTTCAAACATAAACTAATAGTTCAAATATTTATAGTAACCTTCAACGTGAAATATTTACAAGATAGATATATTCTTATTTGATATAATTGGAAAGAAAACTTAGACATAAGATATTATGAGAAATTTCGAATACACTCGAAATAAGATTTACTGAATTTTAGAATATATTGTATTGATGAAAGCAGTTTGGTAATAAACTGATTAGAATTGCTAAATCATTCAATATTTAATTACAATATTTTCTATATCATTACGATGAAAATATTTCTGACATGTCTACCTATTCATTGTTAATCTTAGTCTATTCATGTGTCTTTATCGTTGTGTAGGTTTTTTTCTTATACACGACAATAATATTTCAATTATATTATAATATTATGAATTTTCTTTTCAGTCATTCTTTGGCATTTAATTAACAAGTAATATTTATAGCACAAATAATATGAAGATAGACCGTGAAAAACTGCTTCGTTGTTTCTTAAAATCTTTTAAGTAACGATAATACATGAAGAATTTCAATATAATTCTTTATTTTAAATTAACTCACATCTTGAATTTTTCTATTCAAAAAAACCAAGGTAGTAAAATGAATAAATTGTCTCAACTTTTAACTGTGCAACAGTATATTTGTCAATAGGATCGTGATACTCTGATCGTGCTATGGTTACTATACTGTACGATGGAAATGAATATTAAATAAATTGATCGAATCTAAATTGAAATTAGATGGAAAGAGTTATTGAATATAAATCAATAGTTTTTTATTAAATAAATGAACATATATTATAATTCTTAGAATACAAAAAAAAGCATTTTGGAATAGAATAAAAGTGTTATTCATATAATTTCTTATTTATTGTTCAATAAATTTTTGTGGCCTATCGACCTTTGATTTCAACACATTCATTAAAACGTATGTGATGTTTTTTGCAAATATTTGGTTCACAACATGGTAAGATATTCCATTTGCATAAAATACATAAACGACCGTTTCTATCTCTATATGTTGAATTCGAATCATCACGTCGAATAAATGTTCGCTCTTGTTTAATGAAACTATTATCTTGAGAATCATCATCATCATCATTCCAATTAAAAGCACGTAAAAATGTATTGGATCGTTGACGAGGTATTTCAATACTTAAATCTTCATCATCTTGAAAACTATCATCGTCGTCAGTATCTTTAGAACCAACCGTTTTCGATACCGTCATAGTCAGAGTAATACAAATAATAGTAAGATAGAAATAAAAGATATCCATAACTTTTTTCGATGAATGTGCACGAAAATATATGGTATTATATATGTCGACTAACGTTTCGTTTTTATGGTAATTATATATGCATATTGCTTATTCATCTAAGCAATCTTTTATGATTATTTTTTTTCTCTTTCTATTCTCACTTCAGATTCAACAAACAGTAATAATATCGAGGATATCTAACGTTCGAGCAAAATAGACTGTTCTGATTATTCATGACCTTCTGTTTTTCAAGAAGCTATTGAAAGTTGTAGTAAAGTAGAAAAAAATAACAGCACTACATGTATATGTATTTAATCGTGCCAATTCCATTAGTCCTTCAAATAAGAAAAGAACAAGTTATTTTCACCCTATGCAACGGTTATATATATATTGTTTCGAAGCATGTCTCATCACTGTATGAGTTTGACTAGACAAATGACAAGAACATTTTGTGCTTTCATTAATACATATTCACAATAATTTGAGTTTAATTCATTCTTCACGATGGCATATTAAAGATAGAAAAAAAAGAAACGTATGAATATTGTTCTTGAACACGAACGATTATTTTTCTTTTTCTACGCTGTTGAAACTTCCGTGCATATTGAAATGGTCATCACAACCATCTTTATTATTGTGCATTAAAATCCTAAGTCGCCTTTTCTCTATCTGTAATATGAGAAAGAGAAAACGGAAACGTAGTATTTTTAATTATCCTTTTTCTATCTACACATATTCTCTTCCCTTTCGTCAAAATGAAAGTTGACCGTTCCGTTTATTGAATGAATGACAAGCCATCACATTTCTCTATTAAATAGGTATCAAACAGATTGAAATCTCTATTAACACATGATGATGAGTTTTCAAATAGAAATAATCAAAACAAAGAATACAATCATTTTTCATTGACAGACCTTCTTCAATTCGATTAGTGATTAGAAAGAGAGAAGAAGAAAAAAAGAAAAGACTCATACCGAGCTGAGAAATTCAAGAACTGATCACCAGTTGGTTCAATCATATTCACACGCGTCACATCATTTATTCGCCGTTCTTCTATTTACGGTGCGTGATAAAAATAACTCGCTCGAGAAAGGTTGACAACAACACGATGGTCATTCATTCATTAAGATCGAATTACATATATATATTTATACACACACACTCACACATACATGTACAAGCTCAGAAATATCTGGATTGACGAATTCTTATTTAGATTAAGAAAAAGAAAGCACAAGTCTGTCACTATTGATTTATAAGAAAGAAACATTTTCTTCGAACAGTTAGTTCGATGAACGGAAATGGGTTAGTGTAAAAGCCTTGATGAAAAATGTTATATTTGATTTCATTGACTTGTCGCCGGCATCATAGTTGATGACGACGCCGGTACTTCTTATATTTTGACCAATTCAGACTATTCGATTGACACATACAGATGGTCAGTAGTCGTTGTCGTCTTCTTAAAAATCAAACACGAAAGCTTGTGCTTGTCTCGTCTTTACTAAGTAATTGCATTTGAACAATGATGGACATAAGCGAATGCGAGTGTCAAATCAAAACAGGAAGTTGATTTTTCTCGCTCGACTAAAGTGTTCAAGAACATGTTCATGCACGTTTTCTTTTTCTTCTATTGCAAATAGACATGCGATGTCCACTATTACTACTCTTGCATTTACTACTTCTATAGTGACATAGTCTGACTAATGGATTGCAAATAAGAACAAGAGAAAATGTCACCCATATCGCACTACTGCCATCATGAATAAACCCATTGGCAATCTTCAACTGTCTATGTTGTTATGTATTGTTTTATATGTATATGAATGGAGCGAGAATAACAATGAATTGTTAACTGTTTGTAACAAGTTAATCAGAAAAAGAGACCCTATAGAAATCAGATCCTATACGAGCCTTGATTTATCTTTGGCGTTTGTCGTCTGCTGCAAACATTAGTGACAGCCTTTAATGGATGAATTGATGATAATAGTTGGACCATACATACATACACACATACACATTTGTGTCTCTTATTACTTCTTCATTTACTTGCTTGCTGGCGCACATGAAAATATGTTGCGCAGTTTTTATTGTTTTAGTACGACTCAAAGAAGTAGATCCTAGAAACAATCAATTATTACCACTTAACTGCTTATTCCAACGATGTGTTCTACTTCATTAGATTCTTTTCTTTTCCTAGTGCTCATTATTATCATCATTATTACATAAATTCCATATGTTAATCACAATCTCATGTGAGAATTAAATATGAATTAGGAAAGAACCCTAAGGAGGTATCATCATTTTCATCCTTCGTCTCATCATTATCGTTATAGTAAAGATGTTATTTTAAAAAGAGACCTTATGAGAATAAGTCAACAAAATAGATAGCCAGTGGAATACAATCTCTCAAACTTTACAAATACTATAACCATTACTATCATCAACTCATCAGGGTTCAATTATTCAAGCTTGATCGCTCAAGCAAACAATTCGTTTGTCACTCTACTCACAAATGGTTGTGTGTATGTGTGTGTGTGTATAGATGCATATATGGCATAGAGATTATTAGCTCATCGACTAACTTGTGTTCCGAGATAAATTGGCATTTAGATGATCTCTTATCGAACAACAGTGTACCAGTAGTCTACTCTACTTGGTCAGCAAGATACTTCCTTCCTGATACATTTTTTTTTTCTTTTCGTTCTTTTCTTGTTCAACAATGTTTTTTTCTTTCTCGCTCTTCTTCTGTAGCTCTCTCTCTCTCTCTTTCTCTCTCATTCTCATTTCTCTTTTATTCTTTTCTTTTTCTTTTACTTACATTTTTTTGTTGAACAGACACTTGTCGATCATCGAGCACAAATAACTTATACATCAGAAGCTTGTTGAATTGATGGCATTTCAAGACAGGTAAAAAACGAAGAAATTCTTGCCTCTTTATTCTCACTTCCATGATAGTAAACTAAAAATAAAAAGGGCAGACAGAAAAGATCAGGGTCACAGAAAACAAACGGAATTTATCATAATAACAAAACCGACATTAGCAAAAAAAAAAGATAGAGAGACAGAAGGAGAGAGGGAGAGAGAATGAGAGAGAAAAGAAGGATAATCAGACCGGAAAAGAAACATAAACGATGCCATATAGATCAGCATCGTTATTGTCTTTTCTCATTATTCATTTATCATTATTCAGGAAAACTAAATATATATCAGATAATTTTTCTTTCTTTCTTTCTTACTTCCTCGTCTTGTTTTTACTAATTGTTTAGACTTATTGAAATAATGTTACGTTTTTTATACACAATATTTCTTTTATTTGTTTCATCAACATTATCATCACGTTTAAAATATCGTGCAACAGTTAAAGAAAATGTTAACTTATATCATACAATAACGTCACTCGATAAAATGTTATCTGTTAATTATCATCAATCTATTGAATTTTTAAATTTAAATTCTCCGTATACAACTTATTTTCTTGTTGATGGACAAAAATTACGCACAAGTCGTTTAATTGATCGTGAAGAATTTTGTCGAATTAAATTATGTGAAAATTCTATATGTCATCCATGTGAAATTGAAATGGATTTTGTTTTAAAAGAAAATGGTCAACCACGTGATATTATTTCATTAATATTAACTGTAGAAGATATTAATGAATTTCGACCACAGTTTTTGGATGTATCATCAAACGGTCAAACTATTCAACTAAACATTAGTGAAGGCGTGCCTGGTATGTATGTTTATTACACAATAGATAACCTTTAATATGCGAGTTTCTGACATTCTGAAAGCTAATTGGAGAGTCTGTAATGGACGCTTTAAATGGATCTTTTTTATTGCTAAATAGCTTGCGAATCTCATTATGAAAGCAGATGTCTACTTTTTCTTTCTGTTTCTCTAGTTGGACACGTGCTACCCATTCCAAGTGCTACCGACAAAGATGGTGAAGATGATGAACTTATTTATTGGCTTGAAAAAACAGCTAAAATTCCATTTGAACTTGTTTCATTTGGTTCAAATCAAATTGGTATGAATGTGCATTTTCTTTTCTATAAAACATTAATCAAAATTCTTTGTTTTTTTTTCTGTTCTCTTTTCTTACAGCTTTAAATGTAACTGAACCCTTAGATCGTGAAATACGTGATTTTTATGAACTTAAACTAACAGCTAGTGATCGTGGAAATTTAACATCAACTATACCTATTCATATATCTATAAGTGATATTAATGATAATGTTCCAGGATTTGATCAACAATATCCTTATACAATAAATATATCTGAAAATACTTCACCATCTTTAACTAAATCACTTATTCGTATACATGCCATTGATAATGATTCAAATGAAAATGGTCATATAACATATCATTTTAGTTCGCAAGTATCTGAATTAATTCGTCAAACATTTCAATTAAATTCTGAAACAGGAGAATTATTTCTTCTACAATCACTTGATTATGAACAATATAAAGAATATCGTATACAAGTAACAGCACAAGATTCTGGTCCTGTATCAGTTCCTGTTTATACAACAATTATTGTTAATGTTGAAGATGAAAATGATAATATTCCAATAATGAATATACGTGTATCAGAATATTTTTATTTAATTAATGATACATTATATATAAGTGAAGAAACACCATTAAATACATTATTAATGCATATTATTGTACAAGATTTTGATTCTAATTTAAATGGTAAAGTTCAATGTTGGATTGAACCATTAGAACCAAAATTTAATATAACAAATACAATTAATAATATGTTTGCTGTTTATACTGAACAATTATTTGATCGTGAACAACAATCAAATTATTCTATACGTTTAATTATAGAAGATAATGGTTTAAAAAATCGTCATCGAACTATACGTGAACTTCAATTAATTATAACTGATATAAATGATTCTCCACCAATATTTACTCAAACATTTTATAATATAACAATTGAAGAAGAAAAAGAATATAAACAATCTATAATACAAATACATGCAAATGATGCAGATTTAAATGAAAATAGTCAAATATCATATGAATTAATTACAAATGAATATAAAGATTTATTTAATTTAAATGAAAAAACAGGTGAATTATTTTTAGAATATAAACTTGATAGAGAAACTAAATCTTTATACAATTTAACAATACGTGCATATGATCATGGGAAACATCCATCATCATTATCAACTGATGTTTTTGTTTATATATATGTATTAGATAAAAATGAATATAAACCTGAATTTGAACAAAAAAAATATACATTTTATAATATTAATGAAAATATTCCAATAAATTCATCGATTGGTTTTGTTAAAGCTATTGATAATGATAATAATTTAATAACTTATTCAATATTATCATCAGATTTAATCATTGATTCTTTAACAGGTGAAATATTTATACGTAAACAACTTGATTATGATACAAGTCCATGTATAAATGCTCAAGTTATAGCAAAAGATCATGATAATTTAAATTCTACATGTCAAATTGAAATTTGTCTTAAACCAATAAATGAACATTCACCTGAACTACATCCAGAATCTCGTCTTATTTATATAAATATTGATAATACAAGTTTAATACATTTAAATGCAAATGATCGTGATCGTTCACCATCAAGTTTTCTATCATTTCAATATGGACAAGTATCAAAATGTAATTTAACATTTTTACATTTATCATCAAATGGAACAATTTATTTAAATAAAAAAGAACAATGTACAGGTATTATTGATCTTATTATAATCATTAGTGATAATGATCAATATCCATCAGCTAAAATAACTAATCAAACAATACGTTTTATACTTTATTCAAATTTAATACCACTTAAACAAGTTCTTGCACAAACTTCAATGTCAAAATTTTCATATAAAAAATTTCAAAATTTTTCTTTACAAACATTAACAATGGAAATGATTATTATTTTTATTATTATTCTAATATTAATATTTATTTTATTTATTGTTTGTTTAATAACTTGTATTACATATCGAAAAAGAAAAGTATCGAAACATTTATCGAATCCGAATAAATTACTTGTTAAACAATCACCATCACCATTAATAAATTCATCACAAAAACGCCTTACACTTCTCACTTCATCATCATCACGAGAAAGTAAAGATCGTATCTGTTTCACGGAGGTAAGTAATGTATGATTAGCTCTTATTTCCATTTCATGATGTTGCTCATTAGAAAAATGAGAAGGAATGAATGAATGAAAGAATACAACAAGAGTCATATATATATATGCATGGGTGTGCAATTCCGACTAAACGTGTCGTATTACATGATTAGAAACCTTCAGATTCTTTTTTTTTTTGTTTTTTTTATTCGACATAATAATAATAACTGCTTAAAATAAGCAACATAAGTTTTGTCAATCGCATATAAAAAGTATACATATTTCAATGAAACAAAAACAACATTTCAAATAGAATCTCTAAGAAATTTCTTTTAAGACGAAGAAGAAGAAGAAATCTTATTCAATCAGTAGTAGTAATACCTATCGTAGCATACGAGAATACGATGTAACATATAAATGGTTACTTTAACCTTGAACCGGATGAGGATCACTTGAATCAATATAGAATAAGAAATAAGTTCAATTGTATATTGACCCGATTTTCTCCGCCTACCTAATATATTGATATGTAAGATGATGAATAAATGAAAAACGTTTGAACAAAAGATGATCGTATCTCAAGTTTCATTATACCAGACAGACACAAACATTCATATCTATTCATATAAACGAAATGCACGTGCCAAATGGAGCCTTACATTCATTTATTCATTCATTCATTCATTCTCTAATCCAAGATAGAATATAAAGTCAGTCTGCTAAATGGGATTCATTCATTCATTCATTTATTTTAGAATCATTGTTTACTCAATGATGGCAGTCTTGCCAATGGTAAGAATTATTTCTCATCTTTCATTTTTAAAACTCACTTATCAATTTTCCTTTATTTTTCTCGCTATACACAGACATAAGTGCTAATAGTCCCTATACAAAATTACAACAATCAATAAAAACAAATGGAAATAGTGATACAAGTTCATCGTATAATGATTCGTGCTATGGATCTTCTGAAATGGATGTATGTCATCATCATCAGTCACTAGGAAATAAATTAGTCAAACCAGACATAGCTAAAGCAACACCAATGACGGAAACAACGGGCAAAATTCTCTTGTCATCTAATGAAAATTATATCATTCTATGTAAAGATAGTAGTACGAGTAGTGATGAGGCAAACTCATCAACCTCATCATCATCATCATCACCAACTTCTAATAATAGCAGTCTAATAACAACATGTCAACCAAATAAGCGTACAGGGACAACACAGCAATATCGTACACAATTAAAATCAACATTAGATCAATCAAATAAAAAAATAGATTTTTTTCAAAATGATGATGAATATCGAAAAGTACTTGGTTCAAAAACATCATTTAATTATCGAAATATTACACCACTTAACGAATATTATCTATAGTAGCAGATGTCATACACATGTTTCTTTTCTTTTTCTTTTTGCCGGTGATTGAAATATGCCGAATGTCTATATGTCTTTGAAGAAGATGATGATGATCTATCTCCTGCTGTTTTGTACTCTAAAGTGCCATTTTTCTAGCTTAAGAATAAATTAACTTTTTTTCTTTTTTTTTTATCTATGTCTCTTGATGATAATCTTTATTTGTATATCGAAATGTATTTGTATGTGTGTCAGATGCAATTGAGCTTTTGTGTGTTTTCTTTCGTTTTTCTTTTTCTTGTTGTACATTTGTTTTTTTATCATTTATTAAAATGATAAACGATGATTGAAAAAAAAAGAGGCAAAACATAAAGAAATGTGGATTTTTCATTAACATTAAAAATGTATATAACAAGTGATTGTTTTACTGCTTTGCTTAAAAAAGAAAAAGAAAAAAAGTCATTGCCGGTAAGTTATAAACGTAAATTGTTACATCACAAGATGAAATATGTGTGCTGTTTAAGTTAAATCAATATGATTTCTATATATGCACGTTCGTTTCCCTTGGGGAAAAGAAATATGAGTACGGGAATGTAAGAAGTCTGTTAAATGACCATCAACAGCTTTTTCTTTCTTTCTCTCTCTTTTTCTTTCTAATGTCCTGTCCAAATAATACAAGGTCATTACTTCCACACTCATATCAAATCTCTGTGGAATTTATTACTTTTTTGGCAGATTGCTAATTTGGTCGTTCAAGAAAAGATCATTGCTAAATACTCATCGATCATTGGCGTGTATATGTGCCACTATTATTTCTATACGTTTGCATTTGTGTATATGTGCGTGTGATCTTGCCCTTTCTTTATTTGTAGATATGCTGCCTATAGTGTCATTGACGCAATGAATAATATTGAAAAGGTCGTCGATTTATTCATCAATCGACTTCTTTTTCGATTTATATCTAATCTCATATGCTAAACTTTATTTGGTAGGTTAGATAGTGGATTTAAAGTCTGATCCATTTTTATTCTATTTAGTGATGCCTAATAGGGTAATATAGACAGGTCATTGACAATAACAAGTTATGCAAAGTATGTGTATGAGAATGCGGCGACTGATTGAGATGTGTGGCGAGTCATATATCATTTGAGACACATACTGTCTACTATCATCAATGGACAAATAGGGTGTCTAGTTAACAACACCTCGAGCGACTACTATAACCAATAATTACACTTTATATATTGTATGTGAATGATGGACATAGTATTGCAATGTCTAAGTATAAGTGTAAAAAGTAGTGGTCTTGGCAGCATCATCCACTTGAAAGTCATCACATTCTTATTGACAGGCTCTTCACTCTCGCGAACTAATTCTCAATAGTTATTTATAGAATCAAGAAAAACGTGAAAAGCGACTTTCTTTTTCTCATTATCAATGATGCCTTGCGGCGTTTGTCTACCTGATGCTTTTTCATAAATCTCTTTTTCTCTCTTTATATATACACATACATAATGCATAGTCTTCTCAATTAATCAATTACAAGGATTATAACCTCTTGTTGCTGCCATCTAATCTAAGATTATTAAATTTGAATTAGATCAGCGATCTTTCCGCATTGAGTAGAAGTAAAGATGAAAATGATGTAGATACACACACACAGACACATAAAAGAAAAATCATGATGTAAGTAAGCACTCTCGCTTTTTACATAATGGATAAATGCTAACATATACACACAATTGAATCAAGTTCTTTTTTTTTCCTATCGTCTGCATCACAATCATGTTACTGACTTTTCCATTTACTCAGTAAACGAAAAGAAAAATGAGGAAAAATATTAGTCCTGGGGACATATTAATTTTTTCTCTGTTCGATGAATATAAAAGAAAGGAAAAAAAAGATTCTGATGTGTTCAGTACACTTGAAAGTGCTATCTTTATTGTTAACGGAAATGTTTGCACCTCCTTGTCATTACGTGAGAAAGTTTTGTCGATTCTTTTATAAATGACTTGCGTGATAGACTTTTACGCAACATGAGGAAGCGCCATCCTTTATATCTACAAACGTATTTGATGAGTTAAAAGAGTCAGTTTCTACGTACATACATATATATATATATATATATATGCATGTGTATGTCTGTAACCACGCCCAGTTTTAATCATAGTTATTAAATAGACTATATATGAAAAAGAATCGATTCATCATGTCACATAAAGTGAATTTTTTGCAACTTATACTTGTCAATCTGAATTGGAAAGGCTTCATACTGGTCTTTTATAGTATTGACATTAATCTGTTCGTAGCATCGCCTTGAAGCAACACATTGATTCACACATCATAGTGCTATATCCTTTATTTCAATTTATAAGTACTCATTGTAACAGGTGGATTCTTTCGATAATGAAGTAGACTTATATATGTTAGATATTGCTCGACATGGAAATCATTTTGACGAGGTACATAAATAAACAAGATAAGAAATTGAACTCATACTCAAATGTCATTCAGAAGACCTAATTATGAACGCTCTATGATATTTTTCATGCTGATGCTGCTGTAATACAACTAATTGTATGCGGTGCCCAACGGTCAATAGGCATTAAAAAAAACATACAACACACCAGTTGTTCGAACCACAAGAGATGCCGATCAAATGATGTGTGTGTGTGTGTGCAATCATAATGATACAGTAGACAACTACATTCGGTGAACTTTTGTATCATGTTTTTTTCACGCACGCATGCGCAGATCATTCTTCAACGTTAGGAAAAAAAACCGATAACATCAATCGGTGCGTTGTAATTAGCCACGATCATCAATATCATCATCAACACATCTGCATGCTGTCTCTAATTGTACACATGCTTATTTGGAAACAAGTGTACAAGCTACTGTACATGTTGAGAAAATTGATTTATTTATGAATGTCTACTTAATCATTGTGAAGGTCTTCCTCTATCTGTGAAACATTTCTAATAGTAGAGCTATCTTAAAAATTATTCTATTTAAAAAAGCCTTTTGAAATGTATACAAATGTAAAGTAATCGATGCATCAACTTATAAACTAATTGATATTTCAATAACAATCGAGCATGATTGAATATGTTGTTCAAAGGATTAGTCGACAAAGAATAGGACTACATGTATATTCAAGAATCTATTAAAGTAATTATATTACTAACTGTTTATCATGATCATGAAGATCAGTTAGTTATCTAAAATACACAACCTTTATTCAACATTTTTGGATGGAATGTGACAATAATTATTACATACGACAACAATAAAATTATACATTTCATCTGTATACAATATTTTCAAATTAAAGTTGAATAAGATTTAATTTCTAGTTTGTTTGTTACAGAAGGTGGAACATTTTATATTAACATGGAATAGTGGAAATAAGTTGATTATTTGAAAATACAAAATATTTCGTTGTGCGACATCTATGTATGGCTTCTACAAGGCTACAATATATATTTATGTGTTTTAGTTTTTCTTATCTTTTTATTTCTTTTCTGATTGAATGAAAATCCATAAAGCATACGTACTATATTTACACTATTGTTGGCATAGATCTATTATATAGTCATTTTTTTTGTTTCAAAACACTTCTTTTAATTGATACTTTTCTCTTTTGTGAAAGATTTCATTTAGGATAGTATATGTTCAATGGATGTAATCAAAATCATTTCTACTAATGTCAGTTCATTAGGCTTTTAAAGGTTGACCAGTCTTTGTTAGAACTTTTTCCTAGTTGCAGTGAAAACAATGAAATTTGTCAAAATAGCCTGGAAAGTATATTCTTGTGTTACAGGAAGAATCATTTGGGTTTTTTTACAGTTTTCAAAATGTAACAACTAAGCTCACTCGACAATATATAAAGATATGAAGAGAATTATCGAATAACGATCTTGAACGTTTAAACTCACGATTACTTGATCGATTATAATGAAATCTATTTTCTGTTGTCAAAGAGGTATCTGAAAAAAAAGTCAAGATAATATGGATCGAAGAATTCCATAGAATTGTATTATGAAGTTACCGTTTATTTTTGTTTAATGCCTTCTACTGTCACATCATTTTGACTATAGTTACCAGTTTTCTGACTATTAAATATATTGACAGGTAACTGATATTTGTTTTTCCAACAACTTAAGTTTTGTGTTCTTATTGTGATGTTTTAATACATTGAATTAGATCATTCTTGATGTTAATATTAATTAATAGCCAAGATGATATAGTTTCTAATCAAGCAAGAACTATGGCGTGTGCTTCTTCACCGAAGATTTCTCTAGGATAAGTATATTTTCAAACTTCTATTTGGTAATTGTAATATTTCTGTAGTATTCTTGAATATACTTTTTCTTGTTGTTGGTGACGTTGAAATTAAAACTCAACATTAAAGTTAGATATTCTAATTGTGCATATCTTTTTATGTGAGAGCTTTTCTCATCATAACACAACATTGACATTTTTCAAATAACTTTAATTTTCATATACGAAGTCATTTAGTTATAAAATTAATTATAAAGATAAAAATCTGGCTCTTTTTGTTTTCAATAATACCAGTTATTTTCAAATATATTATTTTGTTAACACATGATCGAATAGATTTGCTCATTTATACCTAATTATTAATCAACGAAGGCAGTTTACAACATGTAGGATAATCATTAATTATTTGAATGTAAAAAGAGGTGGAGTATCATGGAATATACGGGAGTATTGACAGTTGACTCGACAATATTTTTCATATGCGGAGTCGAACTGAGTCAGCGAGTTCGTAACTATATCCAAGCTTCAGAACAGACCGAGTGTTGGGTTTCAGAGCTCTATATTGAATTTTGTCGTATGTAATTCTGGAGAACATGTTTTTCTGATTAATGAATATTTCAATCAGAGCAATCGATATAAAGTATGGAATGATGTGTGTCAATATCACGAAGACCAGTCAAAATCGCGTTCTCTCTTAATAATAAACGTGTTTTAACCATTTGTATTGGTTACATCAACTGATATAGCTTAGTTTATTAGCTTAATTTTGATGGCTCGACGAAAAGTCATATACCAATTGGTATCTAATAAGATTTGCTTTATACAAAGAAATCATACTCTTCTGGAAGAAGTCTGCGTTCCCTGAAAAAGATAATGTCAATTCCATAGAAGAAATGAAGAGAGTGGATACAGCATGAATAAGCCATATGGTCAGGCACTTTTCTCAATCAACGTCAATCGACGGTTCCGATGAAAAATAGAGAACATGGGAAATTATATTGAAATCAACGAAATAATTCAAATTATGAACTGAAAATGAATGTTGAAACTTTATATTAATAATAGAGGATCTAAAGCATAGTATGAGAATGTATTTAGAAGATATCAGTAATCATATCTAAACATATTTTGGCTCGGTTTTGTAGCATTACATTCATACTCGGTATCTAATTGATTCCCGATTTTCGGAAACTGAATGTTTAACTTTTTCAAAAAATTTCCAATATTAAAATGTATAAAATGTATTTCATCAAATAATATACGAGAGAAGAAGAAATATACAAACTCGTAATCAAATATAATAAGTTGTCCATTAACTTATAGAATCATAAATTTCTGTTTAATTCATAGGAAAATATATTGAGTTGTCAAATTTTATATTCTTATCTATGTTGAAAAAATAAAATTATTAAAAAGATATACCAATATACTACGAACAAGAGAATTATTAATAATAACGAGACAAACATATCTCATTCCTTTTTTTTTTTTTTGTTGTTGAAAATTGGCTAGCTTGTTACATTGTTATGAATAATCATAAACATATTAAATGACATGATTGTTTGTTAGATTCTTTCTTCCTTTTATTTTGAATTTATCATCGATCACACGCACAAAATATTGAACATTACAGGAAAAAAATAGACAATATACAGGCTTTTCAATAAATCTATCTATTTCACTCGAGGTTTTTTAACTGTAGGTTTAATTGCACGTTTTTTAGCAACCTTAATCATTGCATCATCTTCTATATTACTTTCTTCTTCATCTTCATTTTCTTCTTCATCACCATTACTATCTTCATCATCATCTTCATCAAAATTTCCTTTTGATTTTTTCAATTTTTTCATATCAATTATTGTGTATGGTGTTCGATGACTTGTTTTATTATAAATACGTGTTAATGAAGATTTTGTTTGTGTATCAATTTGATCATATGGATTTCGACCTGTTTTTCCCCATGTATTTAATTCCATAATTGTTTGAAAATCATCTCGATTAAGATAATATTCATCGAGTAATGCAATACATTGTTCAACACCTTGTTGTTGAAATTTTTGTAAAGGTTGAATAAGTATTTTAGCCAAATAGGATAAATAATCAAGATTAAATTGTTGTTTATTAGCAGATGCTATTTTAAGACAGATATGTTTTTCAATTTCATTTAATAATCGATCATTTTTATTTGTACGAGAACGTTGACCGAAAAATGATGAAAAATTAACCATACCACGAAGATGACCACGAATATAAGAACATGGTGCAACAGTTGAAAAAATTGCCTTTTTATAATAAAGAAAAAACAAAAATCAAATAAGAAAAATTTACCACAGAATAAATCAATCTTACCTGATATGGTAACAATGACCAACTTTCATTTCTACTATAGATCATTTGTGAACATATATCACCTATACACATATTTTCGGCAGCTTTTGAAAGTAAACTTAAATGTTGAATATCATTTATTTTCTTTTTTTCATTATCTGAACGTGATAATGTTGGTAAACATTGTAGATAATTTTCTTGAATTAATAATGGCATTAACTGATAATCATAAAAGAATATTTCTATTTTATCTGATAAAGATTTTTGACGTAATTCATCAGAAAATGATAATCGACATAATTCAAATGGATTATTATTAACTGCTTTGTCAATCATTTTAGCTGCATTTGAATTAGTTTCACCTTCAATTGCCCATAAATTTAAAGAATGAAGTGTTTGTCGAATATCTTGATTGCATGATTTAATAATTTCATCTAATGTTTCTTGTTTTATTTGATGAATATTTTCTCGATGAAGAACAGTCATCATTGCACCACGAATTTGTTGTATAGTTGGACGATAAAATCGTAAATCATAACAATAATTAGCTAATGAACGTATTTTTTTATGTTGTCGATCGTTACAAATACAAATAATTGGTATACGAGATCGTTTTATAAGTGAAATAAGTTCTTGTATACCACCACGATCTTCATTTCCAGCTACACCATCAACTTCATCCATGATTAGTACACAATTAGATAATGATGATTTATTAACAAAAGAAGCAACACTATGGGAATCACTTGAAAGAGTAGCTACTAACTTTTTTGAACGTTGATCTGAAGCATTCTTTTCAATATATTCAAAATTAAGATGTTCACAGACAAGTTGAGCAGCTGTAGTTTTGCCTAGAAAAATTTGAAATGAATAAGATAACAATAGTTCAAAATATGGTATACTGACCAATGCCAGGTGGACCACTAAGCAGAGCAGCTTTAAATAATGCTGGATCTTCATTACGATTAAAACCATTGGATGCTTTAGCTTTAATTTTTTCATCACTACGTCCATGATGTTTGTACCAATCACGTAACCAAACAATTAATTTTTGAACACAAGATTTATCACCTTGTTGTCCAATTAGATTTTTAATTGTACGAGGTTTGTATTTATCAGCCCCTAAATAAAAACTTATGTGAAGAAAAGATCAAATCAATTACGATAAATACATACACATGAGTGTTGATTCATCCGCTGATAGTTTTGGAGTTGTTGGTGAATCATTGTTTATTGTAGGAGGAGTAGATAGACTGGTTTTAGCTTTATCTACATCGCCCACAGTATTAAAAGTTGCTGGTTTTGATTTGACAGGTGATGGAGGCGGCAGTGGTTGTGATGTTGAAGTTGGAAATTTTTTGGGCGTTTCATCATCACCTGGACGCGTCGCAATCATGTGAAGAAGGTCATCTTCTGATATAATTTTGACTTTTAAATCTCGAGCCTTTTCTAATTTTGATTCACCTCCATCACGGCCAACAAGAAGATAAGTTGTTTTACTACTAATTGATCCTGTTACTCGACCACCATATTTTTCTATTAGATTTTTACATTCATCACGTTCTAATGATTCAAGTATGCCTTAAATAAACAAAACAAAAAAATATCAAAATTTTTGATATATTATTATAGCTCTCAATCATGTTTTCTCACCAGAAATAACAAACGTTAAATTTTTAAGACAATTAGATGCCCCATCTGGAATTGTTTTAGAACCAGGCGCATCAGGTCCACCTCGATTCATAAATGTTTTATAATTTTCCACTCGCCGTTTCTTTTCTAATGGATCAACTTCTTTTATTTTCATTTTTTTATTCGGTGTTGTACTGTCAGCTTTTTTTAATAGAGCATTCTCATCTACTGATTTTGGGCTTGTTTTATGTGGCTTTTCAGTACTTTTTGGTATAAAGATATCATCATCTTCATTATCAATTTGTTCCCGTATTCGCTAAAAGTCCAAAATAGAAAAATAAAGAATGATTTAAATTCATGGTTCAATACTTTATTATTGTTTGATGGTGATGAAATAAAACCTTTTTTGAAGAAATTTCGAATATCAGCCATTTAATTGAAACTAAGAATTGAAGTGATTCTATGTTTATTTTCACAACTAAGAATAGAATGAGAATGATGAAAAGAAATATCGTTACATTCTAAGAATAAGATATTTTATTTTGGAAAGAGACTTAATGAATAGAAAGATGAATTGAAATAACCAATCGAAGGACAAATTCGATGCAAATGTGAAGGAAATAAGCTACATTCACACGCTACATTTATAACATATATAAATAAGTGTATGTATGTATTGTATAGTTGTTTATATGAACCAATCAATTTCTGTTCCATATTTAACTGTTTTCTATCCAGCTTTTGATGAACATAAGAACATGTACACGATGCGTAATTCAAGTCAAAATGTAGTTGGTTTAGAAAAGAAAGCAAATGTTTGAATTAAATCTGTTTAAAATTAGAAAATAAAAGGAATTTATATTGAAAACCCATTCATTCACTGTTTTAAGTAATGTTTTTTATTCTTGAACTAACGGGGAAGCCGATCTAACGATTGAGAGATTTTGAGCTAATATTTTGTCCATAACAGAGTTACCTAGAAGTCAAATCACGTATATTGATGCTTCTGATTTTTTTAATACATTTAGTTCTATAGTTCTGCATTGACATATCATCATAGTTTCAGTTATTTATTTACTTTCTTTCCATAAAGATAAGATAATAATAATTTCTTATACAAAATAGTGTATAAAAACCATAAGAGAATCATCGTATGTTTCACACGATAGAAAATGTAATCATCATAGCAGAAAAAAGTAATTTGGCATACAACGAACATTAAATTGACGTTTGATTCAAGAATCTCTTACGAGAATCTTATGATTTTGTTGAAGTACTCTCGAATAATAAGGCAATACATCAATATTTGATTTCCAAGATGTAAGATTCGAGCAAACAATTTCGAATCGAGCAAAACTGTCAACCTGGTCGAATAATAAATGATCGGATCAGGTTAGGTTAAAATTTTGAAATTTGGCCTGGCAGACATCTCACATATACTCTAATGGCACAGAAAAATTGATCCATAATGTTCCAGCATTGTTTTTTTTTGCGAGATACAGAGCCAACGTTACAAGTTTTTCATGAACGATTTATCAGCAGATGACGTGTTACATCTGTGACCAGTCAATTGTTTGTCGTACATTAAGTGTTTATGAAAATTATTTAACAAGAATTTGAACGAAGGCGAACATGTCATAGACAACTGATGTGATCAGCATTACCAATCTGAATAGTCTATTCTAATCCATATTTATTTATCTATTGAAAAACATATACTGATACGATGCATTCAATTATTCAGTATTCAATGTCAGGGAAAAGGATCACTGTCTTTTCCAGCATGACAGGTTGGAGTCAGAGAAGTCTGGTTTTCAAAATCCACTTTCCTCCGTAGATCGTGGTTACCCTGTTTCCTCGTCCTCTGAACTTCGTTGTCATTACATGAACACTATCTTTTACTTTGTTGATATTAGATGTTGAGTCCAGTTTCTCTCTCCCGAACTTTCAGTATTGTTCTTTTGGAAAAGAAAACTTAAATAAGATACTAGACACGAATCGATCAAAGATTACACTAATGGTTTCGGTTCAGTATTAAAATCTGGATATCAATTGTTTTAGAGGAGAGAGTCCAAAATAATCAGAAAAACACTGATAATGTGATATACAAATGATTCCATATTTGTAACGTATCATTAGGAGTAGGATTACAATCATCACCATTAGGCCTAGGACAGTTCCATATCAGTTCCTATTTTGAGAAGTGTTCCAACAGCTCTTCGATAGGAACTAGAACAGGTCAGTTACCGTTCCGTTACCAAGTAACTGGTAACGAAAACTGGCGAAAATGAGAGCGAACTGTACATCACACTATTGACTAATCACACTCGAAAAAGCTGTTTCTCAGCTATTGTGAGGACAAAACATATTGATGTTCGGATGAAATAAAAGAGGGCTCCGGATAAGACCATGATCAGCTAGAACATCAATATGTTTCGTCCTTACAATAGCTGAAAAACAGCTACTTCAAATCTGATTGGCTGATGGAAAACACTACCGACCAATCAGATTTCAGTACGTTTTCTTCCTACTATTGTAAGTGCAAAGCATCTTGATGTTCGGGTCAGTCATGGATTTATTCAGGATCCTCTATCATTTGACTCGAACATGAATATGTTTTGTCCCCACAATAGCTGAGAAACAGTTTCCTCAGCGTGATTAGTCAATAGTGTGGTGCACAATTCACGCTCATTTTTGCAGGTTTCTATTAGTCGGTAACTGGTAACATAACTGGCTGGTAACAGTAACTTTTCTCCCATACTGGTCAGTATGCCCAGTTCTCGAAAAGGAAATGGTCACTTCATCAGTTCTTGGAATAGGAATTGGGCATTATGCCCAGTTCTTGGAAAATATGCAGTTCATAGAACTGGGAACTGTCCTAGGCCTAATGATGATCAAATGAGTGTTAACAAGGATTTTTCTGATCCCGACATGGTCTAAGGCATTTCTTATTCTAATCTTGTTTTGAAAATTCCAGTTTTTATTTTTTACACAAGTAACAAATTTTTTCTAATTAGCACTGAACAAATTTATTGACATACTTTATGACTAACAACAGATTTTTTTATTTTTTTCTTGAATTGATGAAAGTTTTGAGATTCACATAGACATTATTATTGTGATTGCCAAACTTATAGCTTTCAATTTGCTTTTCATTTTTGCCTCGTACATTGGATTGCTAGGTTTTTTTTACAAATAATCAATCTTACAAATAAATTTGTCGTATTTCTTTAAATGGAAACTTCATTTATATTATTTTCAAAAATTCAAATTATATCGAAATGATACATTTCAAAAGAAAAGTTGAAGAATTTTCCTTAATTGAAACAAGATGCAGATCTCAAATAAAAAAAAAACATAGCTTTTTTCTTAAGGATTCAACTGCATTGATGATTACCTTGCCAATTTTCAAGAACTATTCAAAATGATTGAAAAGAATGTGAAAATAAGAAGAATATATGAAAACCAATTTTCAAATGGTTTCACATATTGAAGAAGAAACGTATATCATCCAACATACAGCGTCATCTAGCAAAGTTTTTTGGATATTGCTTCGCAACAATGACTCACATTAATTTACTTATTTTGGTCGATCATGATCATGATCGAGCTAAAAATATAAAGAAAATTATATTTATCAACATCTCTATTTTTAGCTTCAAAACGTTATGAAAATAGAGAAAGCGAGACTATTCTAAAACTGGAGGACATAGATTCTTCGAAATTCTAAATTGCGTATGATTAGTACTACTAGTTAAAAATCATAAACTATTTTCAATTGATATGTACTTTAATATTATTTGATAATCGTATTTTTGTATTCTTTCACTTTATTCACAATCGTATTGATAAATACTAACTATGTATTGTTGTTTCAGTACTGTGTCTTCTAGATTGCATGGCTACAAGTAGTGATATTACTGGTTCGAAAGAAACAAGTGGATCATTCATTTCATGTGATTTTGAAATTTTTGGTACTGTTCAAGGTGTTTTCTTTCGTAAATATACTCAAAAACAAGCAACAAAATTAAATCTAGTTGGATGGGTGAAAAATACGTCACGTGGTACCGTACAAGGTCATATAGAAGGACGGAAAGACGATATTAATACAATGAAAAACTGGCTTCGAACAACCGGTAGTCCAAAATCCAAAATCACTAAAGCTGATTTTTCAAACGAAAAAACAATTGCACAATTAAATGGAAAATCATTTAATGTTAATAAATAGAACGAATACTCTTTATTGTACATGAAATTAATAACCTCAGTCTTTTTTCTCCGTCCATTTGTTTTGGTTCTCAGTAAACACTTAATATTTAATAATAAATGTTCATTACTGATATTTGAAATATTTATTTCCATATGTGGGTTTTTTTACGATTGGAAATACTAATATTATTGTAGAGTGAAATGGAGCCAAGAGACATATGACCAATTATCTAAAATGATAAATTTTGAAATAAACAATCGAAGTTTATGAATATGAAGTCGTGATATGTAAGAATAAGTTCGATAGAAGAAAGACAGTCGACATAATGATAAGAGGTGCGAATCTTATTTTTCATATTTGAAATGATTGCTATAATCTTGTTTCTCTATTATCATAATACGTAAAAAAACAAGTAACAAAATTTTATCATGAAAGTCTTTCTTGTATTTATTTACCTAGACTAAACATGACATATGTAGAAAGTAAACATGGCAATTAATTTCCATTAATATGAGTATTCGTTAATTTTCTTTTGTTACACAGAATGGTTGAAAAGATGAGAAGTATTCAGATGTGAACTTTCATTTTTCTACTTCGCTTTGCTTCACACAGATTTTATAAAAAGACAGATGTTTCTATATTTTTAAAAAATAACCAATGCTTATATGTTGCATTAGCTGTTGCAGCTGTAATAGACACATATGCCGGTACATGTGCATATAAATCAGGCATTCAACTAAAATATAGCGATGGAATCGATACTAAAAACAATCAATTGAAAATCAATCCTATAGAACATATTGGTTGTTGTACATCAGATTCATACTTGTTATGCAAATGGTTTTATTGTTCTTGCTCTTCATGCAAATTATGATTCAACAACGATTTTATCAGTATCGAAAAACAAAAATTGAAATACTTACTGCTGATAATTTAGATCGTATTGAATCATCTAAAAGTTAATTGTTACAAGATACACAAATTAAAGAAATTCTTGTCATGGATCAACTAACATATACTGAATATGATAAAATCAAAACTATTCAAATGATCGTAAAAACTATGCAGCAATCAAACCTTCGTCTACTAACAAAAATCGATTCAAATAACATAACTACAATTATTTGAACTTGTGAAACAACAGGTAAGAAAAATAAATATTACAAAAAAAAATGTATTAACTATTCATATCAAACGGCGAAGCAAAACTTGCAGTGTTATTGGATATAAATATTTTGTCAACAGTTAAAACTATGATTGAATGACAACAACATTCAAATCGAAATGCTCTCTTACTGATCAATATTGTTCATTATGACGAATGACGCAATTATATGAACAACTATTACATATATTTTATTTTCTGCATGGTTCTCAAAGTGCTCACTGTCAAATATCAGAATAAATTTTTTCTATATTGTTCAATTATAAAACCAACAACTATTTCTATGGTGCCAAGAATTTTGAATAAACTTGATGATAAAATGATGACGGAAATTAATCAAAACAAGAAGAAAAAAAGGTTACTTGATAGCAAAATTACAGTTATGGTAATTAGTTTAGTACCAATAACACCTGAAATTTTACATTTTTTCCGTATTGCACTTGATTTACCGATTATTGAAGCATATGATCAAACAGAATTGACTGGGACTGCAACAAGCACATACGTAGTAGAGTTACTTAGAGTTCACCAAAAGTTATTATAACATTAAATAAAAATATAAAGATAAGGAGATATTTTTTAATTTAATTTTATTAAATGTTCATGATAGTTGTCATGATTATTAATACCAAGTTCGATCCTTTCTCTAACGGTTTGTCAAAATTTTTTTTGTTCAATTATTTTTTCTAAAGAATTTTAAGTCATTTTGGAAACCGCTTGAGCTAATCATATTTCACTTGTTTCAAAATTCATCTAAATTTTGTTAGATCATGCCAGTTGCATTCAAGCACTACTAGTGATGTGATAAAGATTTATTTTAGATAGGTAACCCGTTAATGATTTAATATCAGCTGGCTTATTGAAGATGAATCGTCAAAGACTATTGTTCGTGAAGACAGATTTGAACCAAAACTTTGTTTGGTATATTCTTTAAATCAAATAGTCCTGTGTATAGACAAATGCAAGACTCTAGGTCATAAGAATTATATTGAAAATTATTCAAAGCCTTTTGTTAATGAAATATAGAAACAGACAGAAATATCAGGTTCAAAATGTAAAGTTAGTTGACGATCATCGTTGACTTCATACTCATGTAATGTGATTAAGTATGTGACAGAAGAAGGCATCAATATAATGTTACATCCGCCATATTCATCAGACCTGACATTACGTAATTTTTGACTAAGTAATTCTATCGAATGTACTTTTAACTGATTGAATAAATGACACTGGACGTGCTCTCCTGTAGTTTTCAAGGTAGCTAAACATTTTTTTAGAGAAATAATCTAAAAAAAACTTCTGGCAAACTGTTAGAGAAAGGATCACACTTGGTATAAATAATCATGGCAACTATCCTGAACATTTGATAAAATAAAATAAAAATTATCACCTTATCTTTATATTTGTATTTAATGTTATAAGAACTTTTGGTGAAACTTTAACTATCATTTGGAACCATTGACTCACCTTTAGTTTCTGTGCCAATAAAAGTTATTCACTTACCTAATATAAATTATTGAAGTAATAATAATTAATGAGAAGTATGTATTCAAGAAATAACTATTTTCAAAAGTTGATGAAACATTGAAATTTATTAATGAATCAATATTTACTTTTTTTATTTAGGTTATTAAGGTGATGAAAAGAAAATATGTCAAATAATTGATAAACATGGTTGGCTTCAAACGAGTGATGTTAGTGAATGAATAAGTACTGGCGCATGACGCATTATTGATCGTACAAAACAAATATATATAAATTGAATCAAGGTGAATGTCTGGTACCTGAACGTCTTGAACATATGTATATTCGTTTACAATGGATTGTTCAAATATTTGTTGATAATGTTTCGACTGAATCATCGATTGTAGCTATTGTTATGCCGCATAAAGAATACGTACGACAGAATTTTAAAACAACAATAACACTTTTTGACGATGTATGTAAAGATACAAAATCGAAACAATTTATCTTGAATGATTTACAACGATTAGCTAAAGAATATAAATTTAAATATCATAAATGTATTAAAAATATACGTCTTCATCTTGATTTATTTTCAAAAGAAAATAGTTTCATTACATCTAGATTAAAAACTCGTAGAACAAAAGCTTGACAATATTTTCAAAATATAATTTAATCACTTTATGATCTTGATAAAATGATCATAAAACGATTTATTGTTGAAGAACAGTCAAAATTATTAATTTTAATAATACTAATAAGTTTTTTTCTTTAATTTGTTAATTTTTTTTAGTTCTTTTTTAATCATAAAATTGAATAGTTTTATCTTCGATTAAATTCATTCTAAAAAATAATCAACTGTTTAGTTTTTGGTTATCAAATCTTTTATTTTTTTTATTATAAAACATTTGAATATAATACAAATGAAATCAAAAATTGTCATTATATTCTTTTTCAGGTTGTACTGTTTGTGGTGCTACATTAATTTTTTGTATAGCAATTACTTTTACACCATCTTTGGGCGCAACAACCATAACTTCTTTTTGTCGTGTTCGAAGACGAAGTGATATTAAATTATCTGTTGGACATAGATCACGTATTGCTGATCGAGCCATTTCAGCGAAAGCAAGTAATTTTGGAGTAATCAGAAATGTTACATTATTATCAAGTGATGTATAATCAAGTTGTCCTTCTTCATTTGTTAGTATAATACCTTCAACACTAGGATAAGTTGATAATCTTTTTAATATTGCTTCTTCGGTTGGTAATAAACCTATTTGATAGAAATAGATAAAATTTCAAAATTGAATTTATTTTTTAAGAATTATACCCGTTGAATTATCCATTGATTTATGATGGATTGTTGAGGTTTTGTTTTAAAATATTTATGTCGTTGACAAGTGAAATATTGACCAAAAAAAGGTAAGAAAAAGAGAATAGAAGATAAAAGTTCCGTTACAAACTCGTTCTGGATAAGAAATGAATCTATGTGTATGTGTATGTGTATGTTATTCAAATACAGAACAACACAAAATAGAGGTATATGTGTGTGTTTAAGAGAGAAGCAAGAGGAGACCTTTATTATCGACACACGCACACATATATACCCGTTTACGTTAGGTATACTAAACATTTTCTCAATAAGCGATTGTAATTCTAAGTAGACAAAGTATTCTTGTCGATCATAGTTTGACATGAAAAAAAAAAGAAAAAATATAGTTGAAATTACTTCCGTTTCTTGTTATGAAATAGTATTTTATTTATTATAAAACTGATTGAAATATGAGAAACGATAAGTAGATAAAAGAAAAAAAGAAGAAAAAAATATTCTTAGAAAAAGAGAAAACGGAAAAGAAATGTTTCGACGTATCTCATTTTCTTTTCTTTTTTTCCTTTTTTTTGCTTTTATAATCTACTCATTGTTCACTACTCCGGCTAATGCTTTGATGATAAATGTTACATAGTTAAAATAAAAAATCATCGGACAATGCAATTTTTTTTTTGAATAAAAACTCGAGAAAAATATGTTGCTGTTAAATGCTAATTCCATCATTACCATCGATCAAAAGTCGAATCTATTTCTTTTTTCTTGGTAAACTTATATGAACGGAATAAGTTGACAATAAATATCAATATTTAGAAAGTAATGACTGACTTGAGATTATATTGTACTATTTCTACTCAAATTTCAATGTCAATTGAGTAGCTAAATTAGTATTATAATCAAGTTCAGATTACGATATAAATTGGAATATGTCATTGAATGGATTCTTGTGAGAAAAGACAAATGTTCACATCATGCCGTATTAAACATTCAATTTTTCCAGTAAATTGATTTATTTTGAAAAAAAATGTCTACTATTAAATTAAATAGTTGTCTCAATTTTCCATAAAGAATAATGAAATTATTAAAATATTCTTTTTCTTAGATAACTAAATTTCATTCAATAAAAAAAAACTAATATTTCAAATATTGAAGTGGTGTCATCTATTCATAAAATCAGGGTTTCATTGAGAGACAACAGATGTTTATTTGACGTGAAAAGGCATCTATTATTAACGCATTTTAAACATGGTTCTGTTAGACATGTCATACCTCCAAGGTTATGTCTACAGAACATTAAATAATCTTCTTCATACACTGCATACTTTTCATTTCTCAACATGTTGCATTTCTTTGAATAATCGATTATTAACGATGATAGAAAAAACTCTTTACTTAATAATAGGAAGCAGTAAATGCAGAAAGCAGACTTTCTCATGCATAGATGATTGTAAAGATGCGTTATTTTTAAAAGAGAGGAAAAAACTTTATTCTGTATATAAAACGTACTAATTGCTTTTTTGAGTTTATCAAAATTTTCCACACAGATGCTGAGAATATGAAGATTTTTATTGTTATTCAACTGAATGCATTGATTACACTTAAATATGGGAAACAAGAACAGAAATATTAAGTCACATGAATGTTTAATATTATAATTCAGATTTTATTGGAATCTTTTTTCAGTTACTTGGGAATCTTTATTTAAATCTTCATTCATGAATCAAGTTTATAACACATGATTTACAAAAAAATTACAACGTATTTGTACTGAACTTCTCATTAAGAATATTGACTAATTCAAAATCATATGCACAGTAAATGCATTTATTCTCAATTGTACAGTAATGCTGCTGACTTGCCATTTGTTCTTCTGAAAGTTTAACTTTCTGATTAGCTAGAATATTATCAGAAATCATTTTCAGAATAAATAAAAATACTTATTAGACTAGAATTGCTTTTACTATATTAAGTATTGTATGTTGTTCAAAACGCATTCTGTATACATTCACTTCATAAACAATTTGAAGCTTAATTTTTTTGATTCATGTAAATACATTCGATTTTAACCCATTTCTCTATTAACATTTTCTTCGACTTTTCAAAACAAAAGAAAACTACATGCGAGAAGATTTTATTTTTTTTTCTTGACATTTTCTGAAGGAATAGATTTTTTGTATTTTAAAATCGAGTGAAATAAGAGTTTTAGTTAAAAGTCAGAATGGAATCATGACACATAAGAATTCAAGAAAAGATTTAAGTTTATTCATACATTGTCTCGCTACTTTTGTTACCCGATATTTTCAGCTTAATCGATGCTGTTAACGTAAGACATCATGCTTTTTTTCAAAGTGATTCTGATAAAGTATTAGTGTACTCTCTAATCAATAGTATGAATACGCCCAAAAATCTCATAGTGTTTGTCCCGCGATACTTGACTCGCTACATGCTTCTTATGAATTCTCTAATACATTTGTAAATATCTATAAAGAAAGCCATTATCAAGACAGAACATTGCAAGAAAGTGATGTTAGGAAATGAACGCATGCTTATCAAAACAGAATGACATCGTCAATGTACGTATATTAAACACTTGTTTTGGATTTTATAAAATCAAACTGTTCCGTTTTAATATACAAAGAAATAATATTTACAAAGAAATAAGTCACATTACTTGGGGCTAAGCTGGATGCTACCAAGCGGGTCCACAGGTTGCGGATAGTGGAACGGCCATTAGTATAATGGTTAGCTGCGAATAAGAGCAAGCGATTGCCCAAATAAGCAGTCCCGGACAATACTCAGCCTTCTTGCCAACAGGGTGTGGTGGAGTTTTGACTGGCAACAAAACCCCTATAAAATGCCACAGAAACTCAAAGACGACAGGATGATAGGGCGAATATAGGCCGCCAGAAACAAGGTTCCTCCCGAACCAAGCTTCAAAAGCCTTAGCCATGGTAGGTGGAGCTCTCTAGCCTTAAATGGTAGTCCACCTAAGAGAAGGAAAACTCTGATTCAAAACCAAGGGTAGATGAGGCTCTTAGCCATGATAGGCAACTGATCTAAGAGAGAAAACTCAGATGACAAACACTCACCAACCCGCCTAGCCAGCGTGGTGTTTTATCGGCTACAAATCCCCCCATGAAAACACAAACACAAACAATTGATGCCGGCTCGGTCGTCGCCCAGATTAACAAGGACCGCGTTTGTGATTTCGGCAGTGGGTCACAAATGATAAATATGCTACAGATGCCAACCAACAACAAAAACGACAAACCAAACAAAAGAAATAAACAAAGCCACAAATCTCCAAATTTATTAAATATGCATATATGCACCTACAACATAAGAACCTTCAGAGAAGAAGAAAAAAGAAAAGAATTTGAAATAGAAATATCAAAAATAAAATGGGATGTAATAGGATTAAGCGAAACAAAATGTAAGGGCGAGAATCTAATAAAACTGAAAAGTGGTCACACACTTTACACATGTGGAAACGCCAATAACAGCAAAAATGGCGTAGGATTCGTAATAAATAAAAAGATTACAAACCAAATAATCAGTATAAAAGGCATAAACGACAGACTAGCTCAACTAATTCTAAAAATAAATCAAAGATATAAAATGAAAATAATCCAAGTTTATGCACCAACAACAAGCCATGATGACCAAGAAGTCATCGAAATCTATCATGAGATCGAAAACTTACTAAATGAGGACAAAACTTATTTCACCATTATAATGGGCGATTTCAATGCGAAAATTGGAAAAAAAGAAAATGATAAAGAAATAGCTATGGGAGAATTTGGAATAGGAAACAGAAATGATAGAGGCAAAATGCTAATTGACTTCGCACTAAAAAACAACCTACAAATAACAAACAGCTTCTTCTACAAAAAAAACCCATAGAAAATGGACCTGGAAAGGGCCAAACAACTCTGTGAAAAATGAAATTGATTTCATTTTAACCAATAAAAGACACATCTTCAAAAATGTTGAGATTCTAAACTCAATCAAAACAGGAAGCGACCATAGAATGGTTAGAAGTAAAATAAATATAAATACTAAAATTGAAAGAAGAAAATTATTCGTTCCAAGCGAGGCACAGATAGACAATGACATACTCAAAATAAAAAGAAAAGAGTTTGAAACCAAAATTGATCAAATGATAAAAACTCAAATAAACACCAAAAATATGAACTTGAATGAAATGAATCAGACTCTAACGAAAATAATTGTTAATACTGCAGAAAAACTTGCAAAGGAATCACCTAAAACTCAAAATACTTTCAGACTATCAGATGAAACACGAAAATTAATTGAGAAAAGAA